AAATAAATATATAATTGCAATATTTCAATGTGATTTTTCAAGAGACAAATATTTATGAACCGCTGACCTAATACACAAATCCGACGTGGTTCAGAATGTTGTATAATTCACTTGAATTAAGTCATCAGTGCATCATTGTGTTTTGAGAAAATAATGGGGCTTGCTTGTTTCGTGTATAAATATTAAAAAATATACTCATCAAGAGATATTTTTCCAAACTCACATTTTTCTCATCTTTTCCCTTTTTAGTGTGTTCAAATAACCTAAATAATTGTAACCTTTGATGATTTGTGATTGGGATGAATCATGCAAACTTATAGTAATCAATGGCGACTCGTGGACAGATGAAGACACATATCTGACACATTCTCTCACACATGAAGCAGTCGCACTTGTTAAGCGGACGTACTGCTGCACTCTGCAGTTTGAGCAGGTTCAGAGCAGAGAGGGAGGTCTGTCAAGTCCTTGCCACAGCTTTTTAAAAGCACAGCATAACATTTAGTCTTTACATACATACAAGCTTTGTTTATACAAATGTTAATAGCAACAATGCCAAGAACCATTTAAAGCTGGTGTGAGTGACTGAGGGTTCTCTCTTATTTCTTTGTGTGTCTGATAAATCTGATTTAAAGATCAAAGATGATGATGTTAGAACTAATGATAAAACTAAGCTTTCACTGCATTCATGTTTTTTTTACTTGATAGTTATGTAGCCCAGCTTTGAAAAAACCCATGCTCTGCGTGACAACAGACCTCTCAGTTAAAAAAACCTATGAGCTGATCTTAGTTTTTTCGTTTATTATTAGCTGCAGCAAACTGCTACTACAGTGCATTCTTCCTGGGGACCCAGTTATAGGACTGATAATATAGGTAATTAACCTCCTAGATAATATAGGTTATTCTCCAAAATATTGGAGTTTCCCAATCCTCCAACAATTACGCAGGCAGATTAACTTACAATAGAAGTTACATTTTCATTTGTTCATTCAAACAGTTTTCACACATTGACTTAACAGATATTCTTTCAGTGTGGACTTGAAGAGTTTTACCTTTAATTTGTGAAAGATAAGTGAGGACATCTAAACTCCCTGGAAATCTACCATGGCGTTCTCCCCCTGGACTGACCATTACTGGACTTGCATTTTTTATTATTGTCCTATCATAGTTTGTATGTTAGTTCTTATCACTCTAAAACTCATCCTCTGTCACGCAGCCCACTCACTCTGTGCATCTTTTATAACCTCCTCCAGCTCAGTGTCTCTGCTGACGGAAGACTTTTACTACGGCTCAATTCTACCGCTCACTGGTGTCTATCTTTGCCTCCGCTGTGCATTTTCAGGTTATTAATAACAACATGGCATGGAAACCAGGATTCCTGGGAGTTCAAATGTATTCTATGGTGTTTTCCTGAAAGATGAATCGAAATGTTCCTCACTCAAACAACTTTGATGTGAAGAAAGATTTGCAAAGGTCAATATTATACAGACGTGAAAGACATCCATGTATATATATATATATATATATATATATATATATTCATGCAAAATATTTTCCTTTTTTTCAACCAAGTCATGAAGCAAGGACACCTAACTTTTGAACTGCATAAGTAAAGTGATGATAAAATCTTCCAGCTTGTTTGGTTCCATCACTCATTTGCACATTTACTGTATTTGTGTCGTATATTTGCAACTTTAGACATAAAAGTCAAAAAAGAGAACCACCCTTATTCAGCCAATCAGATCTCAGCCTGAAGGGTCACAGGGTAAGGAAAAGAGACCATAACCTTGTACTTTTACTAGTCTCTCAAACAACATGTATTATTCATGAAACAAAAAGTTTTGTACTCCAGGTTTAAAGATATGTTTAAATATATGAAGCATATTATTGTGTACTTCATGATAGTAACTGAAGTTTAATAACTTCCCTTCCATCTCCTTGTTCTGCTGCTACATGTATTAGTCTCACAGTAAATATTGGTCTGCCCCCCTTCTTATTTTTACATAGAGATCGTATTAATTATAAGGATGACATAAGTTTATTTGGTTCCTAGAATGTGTCATAAAGGTAATATGAATTTAAAGATGATCCATCATTTTAAGGATTTTTAAGCTAAAGAAGCATTTACAGCTAATGATCGTGTGCTCTTTATTCCTTTTATTTGTATTTGTTACATGGTGAAAAACAGAAGGACTCAAAATGCAGATAAAGATTGAATAAATGAAATACAAAATTAACAAAATCCAGGATATAACACCACTCCACAACTCCAAACTCAAACCAAGACCAAGAGGAAACAGGGACAAAAACACAATGAACCAATAACAAGGGGAGAGGAGCACAGGGTTTAAATACACACAGGGACACACAAGTGATACACATGAGGGCGGGGCCAATGGGGGCGGGTCCCGGCTCAAAAGTGGCCAAAATGACGTGCGCTGACATGCTTGCAACACGACCCCGGGCCGATGGGGGTGGACCGGGAATCCGAATTCTTCAATGCTAACATATAGCGTTAGCAGACCTCTCAAAAACGTCTTTACAGGATGGTCCAAAAGTTGGCTCTTGGCCCAAAGCGCCGTTCCACATGTGTGTCAATGCTGAGGGGAGTAGATTTTTTTGGATCACTCTAGTTTAGTCGCTGTGAATTTTTGAAGTCACTCGTTTAAATTTCACATTTTCCATCCCCCGTGGCCATTTTGAATCACTCCATGAAAGCCCAATTTTTGGCCCATTAGAACGGCGGAGATAGGCGTGACTACGTCCGTAAATATATACAGTCTATGGGCGGGACAGGCAATCAACTGAACAGACATAACACTGAAAGGAACCAATATATCAAAATAAAACCAGGTAAAAGTGATGGGAAAGTCCACACCATGACCGTAATGTGCAAAGGACCTCTCATCTTTTCTCATTTTCCTTACTTTGTTGTTTTTTGTTTCTTCTTCTTCTTCTTCTTCTTCTTCTTCTTCTTCTGGCAGCATGGGAGTGTAGCAGGGGCAGGCCACTCAGAGCTATAGCATGTGTATCTTTGGCTTTCCTCTTTCTTTTCCGAAGCCTCTGTTTACAGGAATGATGCACTCTGCCCGAGTCGCTCCACAAAGTGCAGATGTCCCCAGAGCGTTGCGAGGTGCACGTTCTGCTACTGCCGCCCTGGGCCCACGCTGCTCTGTTCAAACAATCCGCTTTTATCCACAGATTACATCCAATCCTTTCTCCCACTGTGTATGGATTGAACCCTTCCCCAGATGAAACTCACTGGCTCTGACCTATTCTTAGGACAAGCTCTGTGTCTATGTACAATAAGTCATTACTTGTCGAGATTATGGGACTGTTTTAACAAGAGAAGAACACACATGTAGTGAAGGGTTGTTCTTTTTGAAGATGCCAAGGTTAGAATGTTGTTTCGGTTTGTTTTTTTATTCTACACTGTTGTGGAAATGGTGTGCATAATACATTTTACATTTGTGCCTTTTGCTTAAAACAGTATGGCATGTTTACGATATTGTACGGTGTGTTGCATAATTCAAATTTGACCGGGAAGGAAGACCAAGGAAATCCAAAAGTTCTGTTAATACATATATTTTCCTGTTACAATAAATGCTGATAAGATCATCTCTCCCTGCCCTGTCCCTGTGTCCTAAACCCGAGCTCTGTGGGTGCTCCTCTTAGTGCTCTTATGTATATATTTCCCTCCCGCACAAACGTGTTGATTTATCGGATTTATCAAACAGAATGTCCAGACATTCTTTTTGGGGGTCCAGTTGGTGGTCTTCTGTCTTTACACCAAATAATGATAATCTGATGAACAACAAAGAATTGTATTAGCAAAATGCACATCAGTCGTCATTTGTGGAAGTGATGGACGGACCCAAAATGCAGGAACGCAAAAATATGTATTTAATTAAGATGATCAAATTAAAGTCCAGGGAAAAACAAACTCCAAAACCCAAAATGATACACGGAAACCAGGAAAAAGACGGACAAGGATGGACAGACAAAGACGATGGACCAGGAACACATGAGGCTGAGCACATGGTACATACAGTCGGCACTAGGTCATGCACGGAATCAGCACGGAAGTGGTAGTAAATATAACCAACTACCTAAACTAATAGATCCATGTCTAAACTTAACCAGCCATTCCCAAAAAATAACCCCAACCCACCCTTAACCCATAACCTTAGCCATCTTACTCAGACACCTAAAAATTAACCAGTCACCACTTAAGGATTTATTAGTCTAAAACTAAAATCCAAAAGTAAGATTGTTACTTCCGCTTCTGTCCCGATTCTGTAAAAGATCTAGTGCTGACCATGGTACATATAGACAGAGGGTGGGACAGCCAATCAAACACGGGAACAGGACAGGAAGTAAAACTGTAAATGAAACCACAGAGAACTAACGTCAAGATAAAACCAAAGTACAAAATAACACAAAATTCACACCAAGACAGAACTTTTAACATTGTACAAATTGGGTGGTCTTACCTGCTTGTTGGATGGGGACAGCTGAGAATAACATGTGCCATATACTACGTACTCTAAATAGTAGAATATTCACGTCCGCAATCAGTACTTGGTTCTTAGTGACAATGCGGGGGTGAGAGGGGCCGGTGGCGCTGGTTAGAAGCCATCAGCTGATTAGGCAGCAGTTGTATCGTAACTGAAGTATATTTATTATTAAAGGTGCTATAGGAATGTCAATGCAATGTTTGTTTATTTTTTTCCTACTGGACAATCACATCCTAAGGTCTGCAAATAATATACATAATGAGGGCTGGCTGTAAAAAGTATACAGTATTGTCATAATTGTACAAGTTTTGAAGGGTAATTTCCCCTGGTCGTATTTCTACTATAATAATATTTCACTTTGTTGATGCATATTTGTTACCTGTAAAAAAAGCTCTTTTCAGGTGCATGTTAGAAATCCCTACTTTATTGGACGTGGTAATAATTAAGACGAATGCTCCTCGCTCGGCGTCCTCATAGTGTTGCGTCATGTCTTTTCACAGTATGGCTGTGTATCGGGGGATGCTGACCGCTCTCTTTTGTCTTGCATCTCAGGAGTTTGCTGCGCTGACCAAGGAGCTGAACGTCTGCAGGGAGCAGCTGCTGGAGAAGGAGGAGGAGATCTCAGAGCTCAAAGCCGAAAGGAACAACACGAGGGTGAGTGAAACGTACTAAAGGTCAAACAAAAGCAGGACTGCGGAGAACAAACCACCAGTACAGCAGAAAGTTAGTGGAAGTGAACACATGAACAGATCGGTTTTAGGTCGGTTAATGTTACTGAAGTTAAAGAGACATTTGTTCTGAATTTAAAAAGCATTAAAAGTCCTTGGTTTATAGTTTACGGTGCATGTAAACTAAAAACCAAGGACAGTGGTGATGATCCCAGACACTCGACAAATAACAACATTTATGGACGTTTTCAACATTTATGGACATTGGTCATCTGCCCCTCATGGACCAATGGCTCTATATGTTTTTAATCATTTTGATGGTCTTGTAAAGTCCTCCGAGATAACTACTGTTGTGATTGAGGGCAATTCAAGAATGCATTGAATTGAACTTCTGTTTTCATCTGTAGCTAACATTTTAACTGAAACATATATCTACTTTTAAGAAATATGATTTTATTTCATATCATGGTAAATGTCTGTGTTTTTACAGTAACAACTGAGATTAAAGCCGCAAGCGGCATCTAACGGCCCTCGCCGCACCGCGCAAAGGAGGTGGCGCTGACGCGCCATTTTCCTATCCCCCTGATGGGAGCGACACTGTGCATTTTGAATTCCTATGATCAGTGATTGTGTGTGTCTCTACTGAATAGAAAAACCTCTTTCTCCCCATGCAACACTTGAATGAGTCTGTAGGGGGCGCTATTGCTGCAATTTCATGATTCACACTTTCAGTTCACTCAAACCCAAGAGTTGAACAATCAATTCAAATTTTGTGCAAATTGGACTTTGTATGTGCAAATGGTGGCATTTAATGTTGTCCAACAGCGCCCCCTACAATTTAATTTTTTTAGTGTTATACCAAAGAACACCATAATAATACACTTTATGCCTGAAAAAAACTTGTGGCAAAGTTTGGTGAGTTTTCGTGTTTGTTCAGTGGGTCAAATATGAGATCAAACAACATAAAACCTAAATACCTGTATCCCCATGTAAACCTTTACTCAGCCTGTAGGGGGCGCTAATGGGCCAATGTCATTGTTCACACAGTCATGTGACCTAGGCCCAGGAGTTGAACAACCGAGTCAAGTTTAGTGCAAATCAGAGTTTGTGTATGTGCAAACAGGAGCACATATAATCTGTGAGTGTGTCCACACACAGTCTCCATTGGATAACATGGGAACTTCACACCTCTCTATGAAAATGACCAAACTTTGGGGGTCTGTCACGCTCAGACCGTTTGACTAATTAAAACTCTATATGCAACTATTGATGGTCCATGTGTGGATACCATGTGGAATGATTTTCAGACAAATTAGGGAAACGGCCGTGGCTGGTTTGATGTTTGAGCGAGGTGTACTTTTCAGAGATTTAACGATTTTCTCATAGACACAGACAGGGGAGTGTTGGTCGTCGCCACGGCAACAGGGTAAAAAATAATCATATGTTGTCATTGACTTTTTGAATCCAGATGACAAAACAGAATTATGTGCAAAATTTCAAACATTTTGACAAAACTAAATTTTAAAAAGCCCATGTAAAACTTTAACATAGTCTGTAGGGGGCGCTAATGAGCCAATTTCAATATTTCCACTTTCAGATGACCTAGACCCTGGAGCTGAACAATTCAAATTTGGTGCAAATCCGGCTTTGTTTGTGCAAACGGGAGCAAATTTACTTTTGTCAAAAATTGAGAAAAAAATGTCACATTTTACCGCTCCGCTGCTTGGACAACGTTTAACTGATCCAAATTCTATATTCAATAATAGATGGGACATGGGTTTAGACCATGTGGAGCGATTTTGAGACAAATCGGTGAAGCGGCCGAGGAGGAGATAATTTCCAGCCGACATGTGTGAAAAATATCAATTTTCATTTTTCCATTTCCCATTGAAATTAATGAGCTCCCTGTTTGTCAGGGGGCGGAGCCATAATAACTTTTTTTTCATGTCTTGACCTGAGGAACATGTGTACCGAGTTTCGTGGCTCTGCGACAAACTTGACCTCCGACCCGCTCCCATAGGCGCAATGTAAACTGACTTTTGTAGGGGGCGCTGTTCGGCCATTTTTTTTTTCCCATAAAAATAAACACCAAAAAAATTAATTTTTCGCCGGTTCTGAATTTTGGGCAAAATTTGACAACTTTTCATCAATGTTCAGGGGGTCAAATTAAGGTTCAAAGCGCAGAAGAAAAAAGAAAGAAAGAAAGAAAGAAAGAAAGAAATAATAATAAGGAATTTTTTTTTAAACTTTGAGCAAAAACAATATAGGTTTCCATAGTAATACAAATGATACGTCGTTTTAAAGCGAACGACCAGACGAACGCAACTATTGGGTTCTCGGTGATTGACGAGCGCTGACGCGCTCGTCAATCACCTCGCCATCATGAGGTCACCCACCCCCCCCATAGGACCCCATTCATTACACTGTGTACTAGAGCAGGAGCAAAGCCATTCAGTGCCTCCGGCACTGTTTTGTCAGTGTCTGGGCACGCGCCGTCGGGCTTGGGGGACGAATGTCCGGGCTTCGCCCGGACATTCGTCCATAAAACAGTTGAAGGAACCCCCCTTTAATAGGACTTCAATCATTTCACTGTGTACTACAGCAGGAGCAAAGCCATTCAGTGCCTCCGGCACTGTTTTGTCAGTGTCTGGGCACGCGCCGTCGGGCTTGGGGGACGAATGTCCGGGCTTCGCCCGGACATTCGTCCATAAAACAGTTGAAGGAACCCCCCTTTAATAGGACTTCAATCATTTCACTGTGTACTACAGCAGGAACAAAGCCATTCCGTGCCTCCGGCACGGATTTATCAGTGCTTGGGCACGTGCCGTCGCGTGCAGGTCACAATCTCCGGGCTGCGCCCGGAGATTGTGACTTAAAACAGTTCAACGAGTAATGCCTGGGCTTCGCCCAGGCATTACTCGTTGGAAAAGCAATAGGCCCTTACCCCGGTTGGGGCTCGGGCCTAAACCCCGGTTGGGGCTCGGGCCTAAATATAACACATGTACAAATGTGACACTCCAGGTCACAAGTTTTATCATTTATAACAAACTATTGTCTATGGTGGTAGTGTACTGTATCTTTAATCTAGTGTGTCTTCTTTAATATCCAAATAATGATATTAACAATCAGACAACACAACACAAAGCTGTGTCAAAGCTTGATTACCCATCCGATATTCAAGCATAAAGAAGACGTCATGCATTTTATCATTTATAGAAAAATTGTTATTTTGGAGAATTAATGAAGAAACAATTAGAACCTAAACCAATAGTTAGCTTGAAGAACAGTTTAGTAAGGAGTGAAGTCACTGAGACCTGCTGAAGTTCAGATTCATAGTCTTAGAAACAGTTTCAAATGAATGAGCTGACATACACTGACCTCGGAGCACTGTGAGTAGAAGGGCAGGTGCAGAAGCTTTCCGCACAGGGTCTACTCTGCAGTGGTCTGCTCTGGTCTCCTGGTGACTGTCCTTGCATTGATCCTTGGAAATCTGTGGTTTTGCTGCTAATCCGAACTACAGTAGACTGGAGTTAGTGACTGAACCCTGGATAAAACCAACACAGACCATTTAATGACGAAGTGTATTTACAGCCCGTTGTAAACCAAGGGCATAATGATTGTAAGTAGGAGTTTTATAACTTATATTTGCCCTTCTACAGCTGCTGCTGGAACATCTGGAGTGCCTTGTGTCACGACATGAGAGGTCTTTGCGGATGACGGTGGTGAAGAGGCAGGCACAGTCCCCTTCAGGCGTCTCCAGTGAAGTGGAGGTCCTCAAAGCTCTCAAGTCCTTGTTTGAACACCATAAAGCCCTGGATGAGAAGGTACAGTGTGTACAATACCCTTTTAAACCTGTGTCTGTGTGGGTTTGCCCTTTTATGCAGACCTTTACTCATAGAAAGACAGTTTAGCCATATTTGAATCTCTACCACCGAAATCCTATTTTTCTTTTGGATGATGTCATTATTGTTCTGGCCTTCTGCAAAACCCTCTCACACCTTTTATCGCGGTGAAGGAGAGAACAGATGCAGCAGTAGCCTCTCCTTCTGTGTATTAGCTGAGATCGTCAAACAGATATTTAAGCTAACATTTTGGACCCATGATAATCAGCATGTACAGTATAATGACAACACTGTAATAACACTGACAGACTTTAAATATCGGCCTTATAGTTATTCTATTTTAACAAGTAAAAAAATGAGAAAAATGAGCATGTTTTAGACAGGAGACATTCAAGGTGACCTGTGCAGGCAGGAAGAGGCAACTTTGGAGGGCTTTGGGCGGTCCTAATTTAAAAAGTGTGTGTGTTGATGTCATTCCTCTTGTCTAACAGATAACAGATCCTTTTCTTAATTGATGATAAATCATTCAAACACTTAGAGACCTCATATGTTGTGCAAGCTAATTGAAAAAGTGTGCTCAGGCAAGGATGCTCTCTCTTCTCTTGTATCACGGTGCAAACGCCAATTAAAACCAGGACATTTATCTCAACTCTCATGTATGCAACCACAAGTGCCACACACAAACATAATAAAAGCTTTGTGTCTTGTTATGCTAGGTACGAGAGCGGCTACGGGTCTCACTGGAGAGAGTGTCTGCACTGGAGGAGGAGCTCACCGCAACCAACCAGGAGGTACAAGGCTTGATCACTACAGGAGTCCCCAATGTATGCGTCTTGTGGGATCTGCTCCTTCTCTTACAAAATACTCGCAAAGGACTCGGAGCTCGGATCACTGCTAAGGGGGGAGCGGGGAGTGTTGGAATAAACCCAAAACGCAGGGTTGCAAAATTGAGTGATTTAATAAACGTAATTATAAAATCAAAATCCAGAGTGAAGAGATAAAAAGTATCCATACAGAGAACGAAGACAAGAACTAAGAGACACGTTGAAATGACAATAGCGGAACAGTTAGGGAAGGACTACACAAAGTTTAATACACAAGACAAACGAGACACGGGTAATCAAAAAACAGGAAGTAGATCCACAGAAAATAAATCTTAACCATGACAATTTGTCCACACATACAACCATGGCATGTTAAAGCCATGGGGGTTAAATGGTTGGTGGTGGTTGGAGGGGCCCGGTTAGGGCTAGGGTTGTACTGGTTTCCTCGCTTCTGTCAGTGTGGTCCAGGGCAGCTGTGGCTACAGTAGTAGTTTACCTCCACTGTGTATGGAGTGAATGAATAATGACATGTGAAGTGTCTTTGAGGGTTCAGAAAAGCGCTATGCAAGACCACTGCTTTTTTTTTTACTTAAAAATGGGGGTTTAAGAACAGATGAATAGTAGACATTATAATCACTTGTATGCACAACTAAACAGATACTTTTTCAACCTAGTTTTGACATATATATAATCCTACTTCTTATTACTACATAGACCTACTTATGGTACAGTGCCTTGCGAAAGTATTCGCAAGGCACCTTTGAACCACCAATGAACCTTTCAACATTTCGCCACATTTCAGGCTTCAAATATAAAGATATAACAATTCAATTTTTTGTCAAGAATCAACAACAAGTGGGACACAATTGTGAAGTGGAACGAAATTTATTGGATAATTTAAACTTTTTTAACAAATAAAAAACTGAAAAGTGGGGCGTGCAATATTATTTGGCCCCCTTGCACTAATACTTTGTAGCGCCACCTTTTGCTGCAATTACAGCTGCAAGTCGCTTGGGGTATGTCTCTATCAGTTTTGGACATCAAGAGACTGGAATTCTTTCCCATTCTTCCCTGCAAAACAGCTCGAGCTCAGTGAGGTTGGATGGAGAGTGTTTGTGAACAGCAGTCTTCAGCTCTTTCCACAGATTCTCGATTGGATTCAGGTCTGGACTTTGACTTGGCCATTCTAACGCCTGGATACGTCTATTTGTGAACCATTCCATTGTAGATTTGGCTTTATGTTTTGGATCATTGTCCTGTTGGAAGATAAATCTCCGTCCCAGTCTCAGGTCTTTTGCAGACTCCAACAGGTTTTCTTCCAGAATGGTCCTGTATTTGGCTCCATCCATCTTCCCATCAATTTTAGCCATCTTCCCTGTTCCTGCTGAAGAAAAGCAGGCCCAAACCATGATGCTGCCACCACCATGTTTGACAGTGGGGATGGTGTGTTCAGGGTGATGAGCTGTGTTGCTTTTACGCCAAACATATTGTTTTGCATTGTGGCCAAAAAGTTCGATTTTGGTTTCATCTGACCAGAGCACCTTCTTCCACACTTTTGGTGTGTCTCCCAGGTGGTTTGTGGCAAACTTTAAACAAGGTTTTTTATGGATATCTTTGAGAAATGGCTTTCTTCTTGCCACTCTTCCATAAAGGCCAGATTTGTGCAGTGCACGACTGATTGTTGTCCTATGGACAGACTCTCCCACCTCAGCTGTAGTTATCTGCAGTTCATCCAGAGTGATCATGGGCCTCTTGGCTGCATCTCTGATCAGTCTTCTCCTTGTTTGAGATGAAAGTTTGGAGGGACGGCCGGGTCTTGGTAGATTTGCAGTGGTCTGATACTGCTTCCATTTCAATATAATTGCTTGCACAGTGCTCCTTGAGATGTTTAAAGCTTGGGAAATCTTTTTGTATCCAAATCCGGCTTTAAACTTCTCCACAACAGTATCTCGGGCCGGCCTGGTGTGTTCCTTTGTCTTCATGGTTCTCTCTGCGCTTTAAACAGAACCCTGAGACTATCAAAGAGCAGGTGCATTTATACGGAGACTTGATTACACACAGGTGCATTCTATTTATCATCATCAGTCATTTAGGACAACATTGGATCATTCAAAGATCCTCACTGAACTTCTGGAGTGAGTTTGCTGCACTGAAAGTAAAGGGGGCCGAATAATATTGCACGCCCCACTTTTCAGTTTTTTATTCGTTAAACAAGTTTAAATTATCCAATACATTTCGTTCCACTTCACGATTGTGTCCCACTTGTTGTTGATTCATGACAAAAAATTAAAATTTTATATCTTTATGTTTGAAGCCTGAAATGTGGCAAAATGTTGAAAGGTTCAAGGGGGCCGAATATTTTCACTGTACTGTATAAAGTAAAAAGTGATGTCCTCAGCGCTCATAAAAGACTGTGTCCCATGACTGGAGGACGATTGCCCTTCAATAGTCATCTGAGTCTTGTTAGCAGCCAGCATGTGATTTTTTTTAATCGCTTCAAATTAAATTTTCACACAGAAGTTAGTGTTTAGGAAAATATTATTGACAAGGAAGAAAATGTGTGACTGAACAGGAATGTACAGACATTAAAACATGTGTCAATGCTGATGAAACTGCCAAGGATTATCACCGTGATACAATTTTAAGATGTTACTGTCCTGAATGATCTGAACGAAACAGGACGTCCACTTTTCTCCATGAAGATGTTTTTGCTTTTAAGGCAGCTTCACTACTTTGCTGTCACATTTGTTGAACCCAGTTATGTTTGTTGCTGTGTAGATTGTGGCCTTACGAGAGCAGAATGCACACTTCCAGAGGAAAGTGGCCGCTGGAGAAGGAGAGGACTTACTGGACGTCACTGATATTCCACAGAAGCTACCAGCCAAGGTAAGGGATCTGAGTATTATATCAGGAAAAGAGAAATTATGAGTTTTGAGAGATGTGTGTGAAGCCCATAGTTTAGCGCAAATGTTCTCTCAACAAGTTTGAGGGGGCATGGCCTGAGTAACAATGGTTGTATGTGATTATCTCTGTGGGGTCAGTGGAACTTGTAAGATCTGAGACTAAATCACTCTGAGACCCACTGCCATGACGTCACTGAAACTGTAGAAATAGCACGGACAATAACAGCACGTTATATCTGCATCTTCTGAATTTCTTACTAAATTAAGAGACTAAACCTGCAGATCTCTGATTTTAGTAAGACCAGGTCTTCAGGTTAAGACTGGACTCTGGTGTATGGTGTGCTCCTGCTTGGCTGGAATGAAATCCCTCAGCCTTTGAGGACCAGTTTGACATGGTATACTCTGCAGACATATGGACCACCAGACTATAAATCAGATATATTTTTCTTAATGCATCATAGAGCACCTCTGTTTTTTGTTGAAAGAAATAGTCTTGGATTTGTGATCAACCATGATTAGATCAATAATAAAAACCCGGCCACTGCACATGATAGCACCTCTTATCTGTATCTGTCCAAAACACCTACATTTATGTTTAAGAAACGCACTCCTCACATCCTCACGCTTCAAACATGAAGAAGCGCTGTGTCTAGTGGATTTGTGTCTAAATATAACAGACGTGGCTCTGCAGATGAACACACTCTGCCCACTGTATTTCACATGGTAGAACAACAGGCCTTTTCCTTATTGTTATCATTTTGCTTGATTAAATGTTTATGTACATTTAGCCATAACATCTCAGCTCCAAGAGTGATTGCATAAAAACAGGCCAACCTTTATTTATTTACCTTTTATGAGACAATCATTCTTTGGATTTGGACATGTGAGATTAACTACCCTTTACATTACTTTCACTGTGACGGATGATATTGTATATATTTGAAAAGAGCAGGAAGGAAAGAGGTGTATTTGTTGAATTTTCTTTGGATGCAGACATTCTTTGGATGCAGACAGTGAAGCGACTGAGACAAATAATTATTGTTCCAGAATATATCTTTATAGTCTTGTCTTTATTTGACATTAGGCTCAAAGACAGATATGTTCTCCACCAGATTATAGCGACATAGCTCATTTCCATCTGCAGTTCCTGGTTACATGAAAAAAACAGTACAATAAAAATAACCACAGTACTATAAAAATAACCACAGTACAATAACACAAACCACACCTCAAATGTATATCTCACAGACAATACATCTCTCATTCACCTCATATGAAATCACTAATCATAAAATCTATACATAAGATTCACACTAAAGTGCACAGTCACATAATCTCACACATATTTACATAATAGAGATGTCATGTGGGGCGTGTTTAGAGCCCATCTCAGTGTCTGTGTGAGCAGCTTTGTTTGCTCCAAAGCCACTTTTTAAGTTCAACTGTGAAATGAAGTAAGTCTGTTTGATTTTTAAGGTCTGTAGTGAGTTCCAAATGAGTTCCACTTTTTACTTTATTGCTTTACATGAGAAGGTTGATTGTGAGAAAGAGGTTTTACATCTGGTTATGCCTGTGGTCTGAACACTAAAGAAAAAATAGGTATTCTGTTTGTGGTTTACACATTGAGAAAAACTGTATGTGCATTTGCAGAGTTATCAACATTCACTGGTGCTATAGCTGTACATTGTTTCTGTTTTAATAAATGAAATAAATCAAGAATAATGCATAATGTGTTGGAATATAAACAAAGGCTTGACATTCTGGGATCCTTTCTGACAGAGAATATCCAACGGTCTGGAGTCGGCCCATGAGGCGAGTCAGGTGGTGGAGCTGCAGGACCTCCTGGAGAAGCAGAACTATGAGCTGGCACAGATGAAGGAGCGCATGTCCTCTCTCTCCTCCCGAGTGTCCGAGGTGGAGCTAGAGCTGGAGACTGCTCGCAAAGACCTCATTAAGTCAGAGGAGATGAACAACAAGTACCAGAGGGACATCAAAGAGGTGACGCAGCCCTGGCACACTGGCACACGCACCGACAGATACATCTCAGTGTGGACATTAGTCATAGGCACAAGAGCCACTTCAAACAGCGTTAACTGTGCATATGTGACCATGACACTTTAAACACAAGGTCCAGGGATTGGAATCTGCTTATATGCAATGCAGTTGTGTGAATTGAACCTGTAGCACATTGCTCCCATTATGATTCATGGTTTTTTTGGTTCATCATCTGTCCAGAAAACAAGTATTAGGCCATAAAGCCATGGGCTAGAATAAATAGATATGGATTCTTCAGCAAGGGAAGTATGTATTTGTTTTGTGATTAGTGCTGAAGGGGAATACTCACAGAGACACACGGATTCCATTTTTCCCTTTGTGGAAATAGCTATTGATTAGCTGCGGATTATGCATTTGTATGTAAAGGTTGTGATTCGACTTCACTGTGTGGCATTGTGGCAATTTATATTTCACCTTTTAATTATTTAATATGAAAATGTTTGTACTTACAGGGTATGTGTCAAAAAGAGGACATGGAGGAGAGAATTGTGACCCTGGAAAAGCGCTACCTGAGTGCCCAGCGAGAGTCCACTTCTGTGCACGACGTCAATGACAAACTAGAAAATGAGTTAGCCAATAAAGAAGCCTTCCTCCGTCAGGTATGTGCTATATGCTTAATATTTATAGCAGAAACCAGATGTTTATGCGGTATATGCAAACATTATTACCTAGAATATTGCTCTTTATTTCAATATTGTGAGAGAATATGAGTTTGTTACTTTCAGACATTTGAGAAAAGATTAATCATATATACTGAATATATAGAATGGGTTTCACCGAGCACCGGTCACTCCTGGACAAAGGACGAGATGCACAGTTTTACTGTATTTAAGTCCAATTGTGTGAATTCTAATTATACAATATCACGTGTTGCTCAGATGGAAGAAAAGAACAGGCAGCTGCAGGAGCGACTGGAGCTGGCGGAGCAGAAGCTGCAGCAAACCATGAGAAAAGCCGAGACGCTGCCGGAAGTGGAGGCCGAGCTGGCCCAGAGGATAGCAGCTCTAACTAAGGTACAAAACTACACTTTTACAACACATTCTTTCGTGTTAGGGTTTTGCCTGTCCATCAGGAGAATGTAACTAATGCAGTAAGTAAAAGCCTCATCTTGTTAGATCCATGAAGCTTAACAAGTAGGGGCTTTGTTTGTACTGTGATGGGAGACTTCTGGGAAAAACAGGGGCCATAGTGGGACAACTAATGCTCTAAAGTGCCAATTGAAGAAGAAGAAGAAATGCAAATGGTGCATTTCATACACTCGTAGTGCACACCTCTCATGATTCTTACCAACAGTAGTAACCACCATATGTGCAGTAAATCAATAATACACTAGATTTTAGAGCCACTGTACATCTGTGAAAGGAATGTATACATTATGATGACTTACTCTCTCCTTCTTTTTGACGGTATAGTGTGACTCCAGCTCATCATCTTCACCTGATGATTATCATTTTGTTGTGGAGGCTAAAATCCAAGACATGAACAGCATTCTTAGGAAGGTAGTTACATGGGGCACAGGTCGTGCCAGCTCTTGCATAGCGGAGACTCTATCTCTGGTGGTTTTGGGGCTATCGCTGGACTGTTTAACTCTGTGGTACAGCTGCATGCCACTCTGACTGCACCTCAGTGATGGAGGCGTTTCTCCACATTTATTCTGTTCTTTTATGCTTCATGCTTCTTACTTTCTTTCAATATCTGTCAATGCAAAATAACATTTGCAGCATTTAGCTTTGGGGTTAAAGCTTTTGCTTGATTGTTGATTCTCCACTCTTCTTTACAAGGAAACACAGAGTAAAGCCGTTATAAAGAAAACCTATTGTGTCCTGTGTGTGTGGTTGTAGGCGGAGGAGCGGCACGGGAGCATTGAAGAGAGGATGAGGCACTTGGAATGCCAGCTGGAGGAGAAGAACCAGGAGTTGCTCCGGGTGAGTCACGACTACGAAAGCCTGCCAGACCATGCTACCCAGCAGCCACTGCTTGAGCATCTCTTAATATAACTGATGTATTGCCATCAAGACTCAAGATCCAATATGCTACAAACACACAGTTATTGTCCAACGCTCACCAGCACAAGTATTTTTATGAGATCATTTACAGAGGCTTGAACTTGAACGCATGCAGCTATTATGCAGAGGATGTACTAAACTAATCAAGAGAGTATAGAATGTGGTTTATCTCAGGCAGCACAGTACAAACCGTGTGTGTGTGTGTGTGTGTGTGCGTGTGTGTGTGTGTGTGTGTGTGTGTGTGTGTGTGTGTGTGTGTGTGTGTGTGTGTGTGTGTGTGTGTGTGTGTGTGTGTGTGTGTGTGTGTGTGCGTGTGTGTATGTGTGTGTGTGTGTGTGCGTGTGTGTATGTGTGCGTGTGCGTTTGCGAGTGTGTGTGTGTGTGTGTACTGTACTCTACTTGCATCTAGATACATTAGTTTTAACGTATATATAAAAAATGTGGGGAAACCTAATGTGTGGGATAATGTGGGGAATCTGACCAGCCAGATGAAGCTCGGGAAACTCAAGCACCAAGTCTCCAAGATGTCTAATCATTCTGATCAATGGCCCGTGCTCATTGGTGCATGCTCTCACCATGGACGTCCCAAACATTTTTAGAAGTGACACATTATGGCCAGCTTTTGTTCTCCTCGTCTTGCACAGTAGGTCCACATTGGTTCTACTTGCTCAGGACCAGAGTAACACTTGAGCAATATGACCAATCAGCACTGATTGTGGATGCCAATGATTGGTCGCTCACATGAATTTAAAAAATAAAACAAAAGAAGTTCAGGGTGGCGAGGGACACTATAATCCCTACAAAATCTGTCAGCTGAGGACGAGCCGTTTTAGTTAACATTGATGTCTATAGGGAAAATCTTCTGTACAGCCCAGAATTTAATGCAGGATATATACAGATAATGCCGACCCTGTACAGATAATATGGATATGGTAAAAATACACATATTGAAATCCCTGTGAAATCATGTTTAGTATTTATTGTATTACTGGTTTTATACCTAGGCAAGACAAAGAGAAAAGATGAACGAAGAGCACAACAAGCGTTTGTCCGACACAGTGGACAGACTTCTGACCGAGTCCAACGAGCGTCTGCAGCTGCATCTGAAGGAGAGGATGGCTGCTCTGGAGGAGAAGGTCTAACACTGAACTATCACTGCTCCTTTCAGTATCCGGATTTTAACATGTTTCTGATTTCTTTCTTTTTTTATGTAGAATTTGTTAATCCATGATTCAGAAGGCTACAGAAAACAGTATGAGGAATCAATCCATGAAAAAGTAATTTCAAATGTTCACCTTATAATGAAATGATGAGTGGAGGTGCTGTATACACAGATATGTTATTATATCTGTGTCGTATTTGTGCAGACACATTTGGCCGAGGAAATAGACAAACTCAGATCAGAACTGGACCAATTCAGACTGAGAGGAGGCTCACTCACAGAACCCTCCCTTTCAAGGTACTGCTGGCATGTAATCTGATGTAATTGCTCATAGTATGGCTAAAACAATGCAAAAAATGTAATTCACAGATCACATTTAACCTTGAATGACAGAACACAATGTCTATAGTCATGACACTTGTTTCCTCTCAGATCTCACCTGGATACGTCCGCGGAGCTACGGTTTTCTCTCGGGTCTCTGGCTGAAACTCAGTCAGATCATTATCATTCAGCCAAGGTCATCCGCCGGCCCAGGAGAGGCAGAGTGGGTCTGCAAGAAACAAAGGTTTGTTCTCCTCTTATTTTACATTTCGGGTTTGTGGTTTATTTTACAAAACCACCAACCCACTTGATTGTACTCCCAATAATAGCTTTAATATCGTACTAATCTATTTTCTCTAAAACGGAATCAAAATTTTGTCTATCTGAGAACCCTTTGAAGCTCAGACAAATGGACTCTTTCTGTAGCTAATGACCTGTAGTTTCGGCCTCTGAATAATCATTTACTTATCATTTGCACAGAGGAAGATCCAACCCCAAAGTGCGGCTATGTTCTCCATGATAGATATAAAAAGGGTTGGAGCTGGCGTCTGTGGATAGGATCTATTTTACTGTAGAATAAGCGTATGTGGGGTTTAATAACTCCCCTTTCACCGCTGAGGTAATTGTCATAGATTTATGACCTACAATAAAACCAAAAGCTACTGTACATTGAGGTTTGTGTAAATGTTTTGACTATGTGAGTTTGAAGTTCAAACTGGTCCAGGTCCACATCTCAGAAAGTTTGACTCCAAAAAAGAGGGACAGTTTGATGGTTATGATTTATCAATTGGCAGAAGAATAACATTTTACCTGCACAGACATGTTGGTATAGCTAGGGTTTTCTTTCATACAATGCATTTTGAGTGATTTAAATTCGGTTTCTTCAAGGCCAAATCTCTGGGGGATCATGAATGGCGGTCGCAGCAGCTCGGGGTGCTTGGGGGGCATCACTTTGAGAGCGATACGGAGATGTCGGATATCGATGACGACGACAGAGAAACACTTTTCAGCTCCATGGATCTGCTTTCCCCCGGGGGTCACTCTGACGCTCAGACTCTGGCCATGATGCTGCAGGAGCAACTAGACGCAATCAACAAGGAAATACGGTAGCTCAACCTCACAGAGCAGTTTAGTTATAACTGTCACACTTACAGACACAGAATCAGATTTTTTTTTTATTGCCATGTGAGTAGCAAGAAGTCACAAATGAGAAAATTGCTTTGGCTCTCGGTGAAAACAAATTAAAAAGTAGAGAATAAAATAAGGTATGCATGAATAAAAATCAAATTATCTACACAACATAGTGGTTAGCTTTGTGTTTAGTGCTTGTAATATGGAAAACTGTATTCAAAAGCATAATTCAAAGTTGGATGGATACCTAGCGTGAAAAAATAAACAATATTTTTCATGTTTCTGTCTGAATAAGCTGATCTAAAGATATAACCATACATATAAAACATGTGAAAAGTAGAGGTAGAATCAAACTGTTTTAAGAGCTGTATGTTATATTTTTTAATACAATCTTTTACAAAGTTTTTGCGGTTTGAAAAGTTATGCGCCCCAGCTTCATTTGCTTCACTTAGAAATAACTACTATTAGCAAAAGTCTGGTCTGATTGAAAGTGTAGCAGCAGTTGTATTTAATTCATATTTAGTGCATGTGTTGGTGTTTCTCAGATTAATCCAGGAAGAGAAAGAGTCGACAGAGCTGCGGGCTGAAGAGATTGAAAACCGTGTCGCCAGTGTGAGCCTGGAGGGCCTGAACTTGGCTCGAATGCACCACCATGGAGCCTCTATCACAGCCTCTGCCACCGCGTCCTCCCTCGCCTCTTCATCGCCCCCTAGTGGACGCTCCACCCCCAAACTAGACCACCGAAGTCCTGCACGAGACATGGAACGCATGGGTGTCATGACACTGGTAAAGCACAATAAGAATTATGAAGCAATTAATTGTATTATTTTCTAATCTGTTTTCAAATCAACAATTCTGTGATGACTGTTGTTGTAGTTTTGTCCGATATAGAATAATTTGATTTGATTAGACTGCTGCATCAGTTTGATCTCTCTTTCTTTTTCCCGAAGCCAAGTGATCTAAGGAAACATAGAAGAAAGGTATACATTTATCTGATTAAAAGTTGTTTGATATCTGTACACATTTGTCATGGAGACAACAAAGGTTTGACTCCCTGCTGATGGCTGCAGATTGCAGAAGAAGATGGTCGTGAGGACAAGGCCACAATAAAGTGTGAGACATCTCCTCCCCCAACGCCCCGCACCGTCCGCATGACACACACACTGCCAAATACTTCGCACAATGATGCACGAGGGTAAGTCAGACATGTTCAGCTGGTGAGGTATTAAACTGCATGACTTCATTTCATACGCTTTGTACTCCAATGTTTTCTCAGGATTGTGGCCTCTCTGGAGGCTGAGGCAGGCACCCTGAGCAGCGTAGGAAGCAGCCAAGACTCCCTTCACAAGCAGCCAAAGAAGAAGGGCATCAAATCCTCCATCGGACGTTTGTTTGGCAAGAAAGAGAAAGGCCGGATGGCCCATCTGGCACACAGACATGTGATGGTCGATCCACAAGGTAAGAAAATACCACACAAATGGACAGAATAAAGACAATAGGCCTCTTCGTGATGTAATGCAATCTACTTTATTTGTCTCCAGCCACAATGATGGACCTCGACATGTCTGGACAGGAGATGGGCGTTAGCAAACTCGGCACTCAGGCTGAAAAAGATCGCAGGTTGAAAAAGAAGTAAGGTTTCACTGAGACATTGCTCTCAACATACACGTCACAGGACACTTTACATTTGGAGTAACTAGTTCACAGACTGAGTCAGACTTATGCTGCGTTCACACCTCTTTGTGAACTTGTGTGTTCCAAACACAAATTAACGAGTTCTTATTTTACAAATTTTAACAGTGAGATCTGTTGTTCTTCCACGGAATATATACACTTTAGTAAGATAATGTTAAACATTTAATTATGATCCCTTTTTGCACAAATGTTTTGTTCAAACAAAAACAGGCTTAAAATCTAGTATAAGAAGCAACATTTAGTCAAAGATATAATTTTCAGAATAAAGGAATAACTCATTTGACCAATTAATTTTGGTCCACGTTGCAGGTGTGAGTTGTGCATCATTCATGTGGAGTTTTCCACTCGAGATCCTGACTTTGTTGTGAACGCAGCATTAGATACATAATGCATAAAGTATACTGTATGACAGGTGATATCAGCAGTTATACCAAGACAAATAGAAAACAAAGCATCTAGTCTGAAGTGGTATCCACGAACACAGATTAAAATCAGAGACACATCCACAGTCAGCTTCACTTATTTATCACAGATAGTTTGCCAGTGCGGAAGCTGACAGCTACTGTAGAGTTAAACTGCACATTCAGTAGATTCTTCAGGGTTCTTTCCTCTCTTTACTCAAACTACAAAATTAGCACAAGTCAAATATTTGAATGGTGGTGTTTGCAGTGTGGACTTGCGTATGGGTGCGTGCATCTGCCATGCTCTAGTTCCAAATGATGAATGTCATTTGCTCGAAGTGCACATTGAGTTGCCATGACGAATAACGTTGCCTCCCATGTAGTCGGTTAGCGTATTGTTTGTTGTATGTTGACCAATGTTTTCCTTCACCGCACTGACTTCTCCATAGCAGCCTCCGGGAGAAAGGCCACACCACCACTTTGCATCTTGGTGCCTCTTCCACTCTGCATGCCATTACGCCGCCTGCATCTTCTCTCCCATTTCAGCATCGTGCGTGGTCAGTAGCGCAGTGGTCATAGTGGGTGTGTCTTCTCCTCAGAGGTCAAAGCTGAATGTAGAGGATGCGTCCTTGACTGTGTTTCAGTGCATTTCCCTCATGCTGCACGATGATGTGGTCAGGAGTGCGTTGTAGAAGACCACATCTGACTGATCGACAGCTGCGACTGTGTGGGTGCATGTGTCGGTGTTTGGAGCCTCAATTGCCAATTTACTCATTAACTTGTGTACACTTTTGTCTCCCCGTCACTCTCTCATCTGCTCCTCTAACTCTCTCGCTCCCCCCTCCCCCTCTCCTCCTCCTCTGACTCTAACAAAGCGGGTAAGTTGTGAGGACGTCTATGAACTCCTGAATGTGACCATTGTCTGCGCTGTGTGCCTTGTCTGCCATCTATGTGTCCATGTTCACTCTCCTTAAGATACAGAGCCGAGGCTAACGTCTCACTATCGTTTTCTCGATCCCTCATGGCTGTTACTAGTACCATTGCTTTCTTTCTTTTTTTGGTTCAATTACCATTTCAAGACGTTTCTTCCTCCCTTTTACAGCCCAATGGCAGCTGCATCCTTGGCTGAAAACGAATGTGCCGTCGCTATACTGGGGCCTAATTTTCTGTACCCAGAGTGTCTTCCTCTCCTTTTTGTGTGTCTCTATCTCTGTTGTGCTAAATAACCAGCTGCAACATCTGGTTATGGGAATGTCAAATGTTATAGTTCACAATAATGTTTCCTCCCTTTACCTAGCTATGTTCAGTGGATGTAATATCTTCATGCATTAGGTCTGATCTGAATATAATGAGCATTACTCATGTATTCAAAAGATTATGTGAATGGTGAATGTTTCTATCATCCATAAGCTCTTTAGGTCAATGGGATGTTTCCATGTAATAATGCCATCATCAGTGTGCGATGCAGTTGTGCTGTTTTCTAATGAGTCCTCTTCCTTAGTCGTTTGTTTAATGAGGTTTACACACTTGTGAATGAGTTTGTCCATTTTTCTGTATCCATGGATTTGTGAAAGATACATGACATTTGTCACTCCAGCAAGAGGTTTTACTCAAGTATGTTGACTTGCAAGTTTTGTAAGGATGTCAGGACAATGCAATACAATTGTTGGCATAAATGTAACCTTCAAAACCTGCACAACACAATACTCTTGCATGAATAATGAACATTTTGTGTTTGAACGAGCTAAGTGAACAGACATAGAAAAAGCCTTTTATGCTCTTGAGCATTTTGAACAGGAAAGCTTTCTGAAGTGTAATGTCATAACAAAACCAATCAACAGTAACATACTGCATTTGTCTGTGTACCGCGCCCTGTTTCCATCAGGGCATGACATGTTTTAGGATGGTATACATGTGTCTTTTGCCTCATGCATACTTTTACTTATCTTAGTTTGGTTGGCTAACCCTAAAGATGGGAGACATCTGACTTTTAGAAGTATTTTAATACCAGATCTCCTCTTCCTCAGACACGAGCTTCTGGAAGAGGCAAGAAGGAAAGGTCTACCTTTTGCTCAATGGGACGGACCCACTGTAGTTGCCTGGTTGGAGGTATGATTTTTCTCCATAAAATATCACAGTATATGCTGCCCTCTGCTGCCCATACAAACACTGTACTAAACATCTTACCCCTCCTCTCGCCCCTCCTCTTGACCCTCATCTTTCCCTGGGCCAAAGCTGTGGTTGGGGATGCCTGCTTGGTACGTGGCTGCGTGTCGTGCAAACGTCAAGAGTGGAGCCATAATGTCAGCGCTTTCTGACACCGAGATCCAGAGGGAGATCGGCATCAGTAACCCTCTGCACCGACTGAAGCTGCGTCTGGCCATTCAGGAGATGGTCTCCCTCACCAGTCCCTCAGCACCCCCCACCACCAGAACTGTGAGTCCACTGTGTGGATGTGCATGGAATATTAGTTATGGCATCTGTATTCTTTTCCAACATTTATCCTATATTTCACAAGTATATAGGTTTTAATTTAGCCTAGTTAGAGCCCTAACTATTTGCACACTACTAATTGAATAGCATGTGATAGTCACTCACATTTAAATGTAATAATCTTGTAACAAATGGACTGCTATGTTTAACAATGTTTTGTGCATTTGCATGTTTGTATGCCCAATACTATGTGTGTTCAATACTATGTGTGTTCATTACTATGTGTGTTCAATTCTATGTGTATCAAATATTATGTAGGGACTCGGATCCTAATTTGCTCATGAATTAGAGGAGAGCTGGTGCTGTATCTTTATGGCGCACTGCTTGTCGGGAGGAAGCACACACTTCCTTTAGGTGACATTTAATCAACAAGCCGCATACAGAGTGACACACCTACATACATACACCTACACACACACCTGCACGTACACACATACACACCTACACATACACATACACATATTCTGTACATATACAGTACATACACACACACACACACATATACATACACACACACACCTACACACACACACACATACATACACATACACACACACATATACATACACATACATACACACACACACACATATACACACATACACACACACACATACATACACATACACACATACACATAAAGGTCTACACATACATTGGCCAGATTAATACATGCACTAAACCCCCAAAATAATTGATCAATTGACCCTAGTGACAGCATCCATCAAAGAAAATGGAATTCTGAGAAATTCCCCAAAACCAGATTTATTTCCCCCAAACGTTACCATAGCAACCCATAACAACAAGGCTCTAACTTACTGTATTTAAAATCAATAATATCCTTGGGACAAATTAGGACAGCTGAGACACTTAAAATGTTACTTAAAGGTTTCTTCATTATTGTGATATGTTGTCGACCAACTGCTTCATACTAATTTTTAACATCCTCAATCCTTAGTTAGGACACTTCAGTGAATATACATGACCCCATCACTGTATTGTAAATGTGCTATATTAACAGTTAACGTTGTTCATGGGGAGACAGAAGTGTGTTGGCTCATCCTGTTCCCAGTCGTACCGATATGTGTTTCCAGTGTCTGTGTGCTCTGTACTTGTGCCTGTTTTGTCCGTTTGGCCTGCGCCCCCTGGTGGGTGGGCCTCGTCATCATCTGACTGTGATGCTATAACACTATTGGCTTACAGTGGTGCTGCTCTTATTCTTTAACACTGCTTCCCCTCCTGATGGACCTCTACTGCACACCCTGCTGCTCTGTCTCTTGGGCCTTCCCTCATAGCAATCAGGCAATGTTTGGGTGACCCATGAGGAGATGGAGACCCTGGCTGCCCCCTCCAAAACGGTCAGTTCCCATGTACCCTCCACCTCCCCTTTTCTGTCTGAAGTGAGTTTGTGTGAATGGATTAAAAGAGGAATTTAGTGACTGATGAATAATATAACTATTACAATAAAATCTGTTTAGGGCTGGATGTAACAAGTAAATCGATTCAATGCAACTAATCAATTATTGAAATAGTTGTCAACTTATTTAGTGATGGTTCAATCATGTTTTGAACCATAGTATGTAAACATGCTGATAATAGATTTTATTACAAACTATAATTCTATAATGACTGTAAACACATTTTTATTACATTTTGCAAAGTATTTTCAATTATTAAGATGTTCTTAAAGGGCATCACTTGAGCTTTGTCTTGGTCAAATGTATTTTTTTTTATTTTTCATGAATCAACTAATAGATTAATTGAAAGAATAATCTGCAAATTAATTCCAGCCCTAAACACATGTTAAAGGCACGGTATAGAGGAACACAATGATTCGATACTACTGTAATTGTTAACGCTCTATTTTATTCTATTTTTTGCCTTTCTTCAATTCAGAAATCAAGTTTGGATGAAGGGAGTTGGGCTCAGGTAAATTCACGAGTGCATTTATAAAATGGGAGACAATAAAATTACAGTCATTATGATACTATTTCCCTAATATTTGCAGACTCTAGCTTATGGGGATATGAACCATGAGTGGATTGGGAACGAATGGCTGCCCAGTCTTGGACTACCTCAGTACCGCAGCTACTTCATGGAGTGCCTGGTGGATGCCAGAATGTTGGACCACCTCACGAAGAAGGACCTTAGGGTGCACCTTAAAATGGTGGACAGTTTTCACAGGTAGTCAGAGTTACATCTGAACAGTGACTGAAGTAGAGGACTATTGGTTTGTTACTTCCTGTTGTGTTTTTAGAACAAGTTTACAATATGGCATCATGTGTCTGAAAAAGCTCAACTATGACAGAAAAGAACTGGAGAGACGACGAGAGCATAGTCAACATGATTTAAGAGGTAAAAACACCACATTACAGTTGATGTTGATGTCAGAGTAACTGCTGTGTCTGCAGATGTGCTGGTGTGGAGCAATGAGCGGGTGATCCGCTGGGTGCAGAGCATCGGCCTGAGGGACTATGCCAACATCCTGCTGGAGAGCGGCGTCCACGGGGCCCTAGTGGCTCTTGACGATAACTTTGACTACACTAGTTTGGCTCTGGTTCTCCAGATACCCAACCAAAACACTCAGGTTTGAAACAGTTCTATACAGCCTTCAGCCCCTGCGCATGATTTGGGAGTGTGTGGAAAATCATAGAATCATAAATTTTTTCACATATTTAATTAATATTAATAAATATTCATATTTGGCAGCTCTGACTGCCACCCCACGACCCAGAAATGGATTAAGGGGAAGAAAATGGATGGATGGATGGAATAAATAATGAATATTAATATTTTGTGAAAAAATAAAGTTTGTCTGAATCAGAACTTGAATAGTTAAAGCGTAGACTCTGACAGCAGGCCCAGGATATCTTTCCATTGTTTTCCCCTGGAGTCGACACGCAGCAGTGTGTCAGCGATGTCAATGTTTCTAAGAATAGAATCGTATCTGAACGTCACGCTTTTTCCTCTGCAGGCACGTCAGATTCTGGAGCGAGAGTACAACAATGTGCTGGCCCTGGGTACTGACCGGCGATTGGAGGAGGTAAACTAAAATATGTATAGCTAAATATTCATGTCATCTAATATTTGCTAAAACCTTTTAGATTTGTTTTAGTATATTTCATGAGGTACAGTCAGTGTATTTTTACCAAGTGTTTTTGATTGAACAGTGCGATGATAAAGACTTCAGAGGCCCTTCCTGGAGGAGGCAGTTCCCCCCGAGGGACGTGCACGGCATCAGTATGATGCCAGGGTCAGCAGAGACTCTTCCTGCTGGCTTCCGGCTCACTGCATCCGGTCACCCTCGAAGACTGCCCCCTGATGGTAAGCAGCGAATATTACATGTAGAAAAGCATTTACAGAATAGGAATATTTAGGAATAGGTGCAGTTTTAAAGGCATAAATAATATGTTTGGGTCTGTGCTGTTTTTTTTGTGGTGGCTGTTGTGCAGTCCTCTATGAGGCTCTGGATGACAGTCCTGATGACACATATCTGGACTGGTTTCAAGGTCAGCTATGCCTCAGTGAAAGGCGCAGGAATAATGGATTCTGTGTTCTTTTCTACACATGCCCCTCCTGACCATGCTGCCCTTCCAGTTTTCTAATGCTCCTTCTTTCACAGTACTTGCTTCTAAACAAATATGAAATATCCAAGGGTCAAAGAATGGTTAATAACTTTAGTATTATATTTGGATTATGATCTCATTGTGGGAGCCTGCATTCAAGCAGAGGGGCTAGTGGTGGGGAATGACAATGATTTCCATTACTTTTGATCTCTACTCACAATTATTTACACACAAAAGAAATGTTGTTGAAATAAAATTACGCAATATTAAGTAAATGTTCACAGTGGCGACCTAATAAAAGTAATAGTAAAACGTAATTTAAAAACACCACAGAAGGTCTTTAAATTGGTGTATAAAATGTAAGGAACCCACAAAGTCAAAGTGACAAAGCTTTTTTTATAATCACATTTATCTCAAGGAAGAGCTCAAGTAAAAGAACAGAGGGTGCTGCTGGAGTGTGGAAGTGAAAAAATATATCAGTAACTCAGGTGCTGTTCAAGGATAGAGCCAGGAGACTTGGGAAGCAGGTCAAAATGGAGCTGAACACATAAGAAAACGGTGATGGTAGTGAAGGAATGAGTCCAAAGCATTCTGAAGTTAATATAAAAGCACTTTATTCAAAACATGAACAAAATGTGTGTCTTTTTTTCAAACAATTTACCATAAAACATGTTGAAATGCGTTTCATATCAATGCATTTAAGTTTTGAAAAAATGACTTTACATTATCAGAATGCCTCAGATCCATTGCTTCACTACCCAACCTACTAGCATGCGTTGGTTTCCTCCGTGCGCTCCGGATGAACAATGGGAAGGAATGTGATGAGAAGGTGAATGGATGGTGAAGGTGGGAGGCTTTCGGTCATCATCGACTGTTGAGTGAATGGATAAATATCTAAACTCCAAAACATTGTTAAAGAGCGACTAAACACCTGTGCCCAGCCTTACTCCGCCCACATGAAGATTTGAAAATTTTCTCTAAAAAGGGCGTTGCCTGGAGGACCAAGGGACAATAAGGGGGGCTTAGAGTTGGGCGTGGTCTGGGCTGTGATTGACAGCTCACTTGTCACACAAAAAAAAACAGACAGTTGTCATTGCTGCTTAAAGCAATAGTTTACAGACCAGAAAGTCTCATTCCACCCTTGTTTACACACTGAGATAATTGTAAAGCTACACACCTGAACCTAATCACACTCAATAATCTCAGAATCACTCATGTCATTTAATTTTAATCCACTAGATGGCGCCAGAATACTCCAAACTGCAGCTGGGGCGTGTGTGAGAGTTGGATGGGTTTATATCACTGGCTCTGACAGACTGACGTCACACAAAACAACTGATGTCATAGAGAACTTCAGAGTCAATGGAGAGGCCAGGACCAAATTCAAATGTAGTACCACCAAAAAGGTTGAGAGGGCACCACACAGACGTTTTTTGGCTCAAAAATGATATTTTATCTAATTTGAACTAATATGTCAAAGAAATTACCAGGATATGTAGAGAGCACTACAATAAACATATTTATGGAGTTTATGAGTTGAAAAAAGTTGATTTGGCGTTTAGTCGCTCTTTAAGCGCTTTGCATGACCTTGGCCTGTGAAATGCACTAGATAAACAAAGATTACTCACATAATTATGACTTTTTGGTATGCGTTTGGCTCCGGTTTGACCTGCTTCCCTCAGCGCACTATGACTTCAAATATTAAACAGAAATAAAACTAGAACACTGCAAAAAGTGATGAAAAATAAGTCAAAACTCAAATTTGGTCAAATTGATCTTGATTTAAGAACATTAAAACAATGATTTACCAATGGGACAAGCAAAATGATCTTGTTTTAAAAGGATACAACAAATGTCTCCCTTAGAATGAGAAAATAAAGCAACAGTTCTTTGAATAAGACCAAAAGGCTTTTGTGAGAATAGACAGTTAGAATGTACTCAAATTAAGACAAAAACCACTCGATTCAAGCATATTTTATCCTTTTTTTTCAGTGAATAGAGTAGATTCCACTGCTGTGTTACCAAGTCTCGTTTCTAATATTTTTTCCTCTTTCTGTGAGGCAAATTAAATCTAATGAAGTTTGTTGTTTTAAAATCTAGCTCTAAAGCAGTGTACCATATCTATTTACCCTTGGTAGTTAAAAGAAGTGCTCTCTTTTAACATTTGATCATTAAAACAATCTCCATTCTGTCCCAGTTTGTAGTCACAACTAATAAATATACCCTATGTTCCCTATTAAACCAGTCATGTGACCCTGGCTAACAGTGTAGTGGTGTGTGGTGTGACAAGTGTGTAGTTTTTGTGTCTTTCATAAAATCAAAGGTACTTTTTGATTGATTGGTGAAGGTCTGCAGTGTTGTTTAAATCAAGTGTGTGTGGTGGTCTCTCTCCTCAGTCGGCCCGTCTGCAGTGCAGAGGCTGGACAGCTCCACGGTGAGAACATACTCCTGCTGAGAGGAAGAGAGCGACCTATGACTGTACAGCGTATGTAACACAGACTCAATCACACTGTTTCTGGAGCCGAGGGCTGGGGGGAGCAAGAGGGTCCAGAGGTGGCAAGTTATCGAGTTGATTTTGACTTCAGTAGTGTCTCCTGGTATTAGTACTTCTTATTTGACCATGACTTTTACATTTCACACCTCACTTGTAAACATTAACATACTTATTTTCTACTCCTTGCATCTTGTTGCTTTGCAGATGACAACACAAAACTAAAAAGAAAAAAACATCCTTGTGGATATCCATAACTCTCAAACAAATTATTACTTTTACACGCTCATTTTATACCAGTATGCCTTTACTAAAATGGGCATTAGGCAACTTTGTATGTGAAAAATGCATATTTGAACTTGCAGTGACCCAGTGGCTGTATGAGTGGTCAGTAAAGGTTCTTTCCATGGCACTGTCTCCTGGATGGATTGCTGTTTCCTCTGCGGTTTCCTCTGCTGTGGGAACCCCACACCAGTCAAGTCACCGTGCTGCCCACAAATACACAATAATATGAACTTTTTTTTCACCATATAAAGTTGCATACTGTCCCTTTAAGTGCTGAAGACTTGAGCATTTGCCACCTCTGAGGGTCTCTCGGATCTCAGCAAATGGATCCAATAACGTGAATGTTTGGTGTTATGTATTACAAGATAGATAACAGATGGGGCAACTTTTCCTTCATTCATGACTCTTGCTCGATACAGATTGTATTTTTTTCATCCTTATCAAAAGTCTGTCCTGATTTGTCATGAATATTGTTGAAAACTGCAATGGGGGTTGATATTTAGCTTTTTTTTATTTAGAATTATAATTTCCCACCAATTTCTTTTGCGACTGACTGACAACTTGCTGCAAGGCACTTGAAATATGTCTGACATGATGCTATGTTTGTTCTAGTTGCAGTTCTGAATGAAGCTTGAACTACAGACCTTTTGAAGACATGCACTGCCAAGAAGTCGTGTTCCCCTGAATTGTGGGCACCTCACACCGGTGCTAACTCCCTGCAGGCTGCCCTCTTTCTCAGTTTTTACCTTGTATGTGTACAGAATCGTGTCCATGCATAGTGTACTGTGCATTTCTTCTACAGAAATGTGTAGGTTATATGTAAATTATTATAAATATTCCATTTTATAAATATATATAAAAAACGTATGTGTAAAAAGTATCCAGAGTTTGTGCGAAAAGAAAAGTGTTCCTGCCACCTCATTTAGACGACATAGATACAACATATGCTGCTCTTTAAACTGTATACATGAAACCATTTCCCTAGATCAATTTGTACATATCGTTTTATTTTTTCATTGTGTTACGACTATTCTGAATCTGTGCTGTGCCAGAGCGAGAATGTACTCTGGTTGTTGTGTGAAAACCTGCCCTCTAGTGGTGCACAAATGTATGAACCTTCAAAAGCGTGTCAGGAGAGCAGCAGGCCATCGTTAACAGGAGCAAGACATAACAAGCACTTTGATACACATATATCAGCGTAAAGGACTCTTTAGTAGCCAAGGACAAAACAAAAGACACTGCTGGGATCTGAAGTTGCACAACACATCCTCTCGGAGCCCAAAAGCAGTGAATGGTTTGTAGTACTGTCACTGTTGTACTGTATTTTCTGTCTAAAACACAAGGACACACTCTCAGCCGCGCTGGCCTTCTCCTCGAGCCCACCACCACGTCCGCACAGAGGGAGCAGTGTGTGCATAGATAGAGTGTATATGACCATGGTGAAATGAGGTGGTATTTGAAACTTGTTGCTTGCTGTGGCTTACATTGGTAAAACTGTTGACTTTGTTTTTGTCCAAGGGCTCCTGCTGTGGCCCCGTCATCTGTCTTTGAGTTATTTCTGACTGCAGACTTAAATGGGGTTTACACTTTTCTTTTTTGACAATTTGCACGAACAATGAGTCATGTTGTGTTCTTTTTTTTATTTATTTAAACTTCTTGTACTTTTTGTCAAAAGTGGTGCGGGCAAACCAATTTCATTGACATTAAAAGTATGTATGTATGTTGTGTTTCTGGTTGTAACTTTTGAATGATGTTGATGCATTAAAGCATTAAAGCAGGGGTCCCTAACTTTCAAAACACAAAAATAACTTCACTAAATTAATAAATCTCTATCATGTGGATGTATTTTTTAGCTTGAGGACCACCGTCACTCAGCCAATCAGCTCTCTAGTGATCAACTAGTGACACCCACAGCTCTTTCTAACAAGTAAGCAAAAGATTAAGATAGCTGGAGACAGACGGTTGTAGTGTAATGTGTTCACAAGTTGGGTACCCCAGCTTCAAGATTTAAATTGCCATAAAACTGCAGCTGCCAGCAACTACAGGAAGTGAACATACTGTAGCACAAGAGCTGTTAAAAAAGCTGTAATGATAAATATAGTGGAATGCATAAAAACAGTGTACATTATTAAAAAGCTTTTAGGGGAAACAGATTATGAATGATTTAGTGGTTGCAAACGTCACATTAGAAGTTGGCTCAAACGGTTTTCTATCACAGATTTATGCAAGTTTTGCGTTCTTCATCTCTCTTTCAATGTGTTTAAAGACTTCTGGGTCTTCTATGGTTGGAGTGATCTGCAGCAGGGGGAAAATCCATAGTCAGCAAATGTGGGCTCCCTCAGTTCATCCGGATCTAACATTGAAATAAATGCATTTGTCGTACCTTGTATGGTTTCCCGCTGACGAGGTTTGCCAAAGAAGAGCGTGGAATCTTGCCTGAGCGCGTTTTGGGCAGAGCTTGGACAAAAAACACCTTCTTGAAAGCAGCAACTGGTCCTATTGTGTTTCTGACATGCCCCACTATCTCTTTAACAATATCATCTGTATCTTTTAGCACTCCTTAAAGAGAAACCAAAGTAAACAAATATTTAATCTACCCATCAATATCTCAAATGCGTGTGTTCGACTTTAATAATAACTCACGATTCTTGAGCACGCACAGGGCCAATGGCACATGTCCTTTCAGAGCGTCCTCCAAAGCCACAACAGCACAGTCTGCTAGAGCAGGGTGCTGCAGGATCACCTGTAAAACACATGGCACAGGTTTGAAGAAAAGAAAGTGTTCATACGATATACTGTACATATGTAGTTTAGGAAGATTCATCTTGTCTTAGTAGAATTAAAAGTATTGAGATCTTCTATACCAGACAATATAACATTTTGTGATGTTATCACCTTCTATACCGTCTTGCTACGTCACACATGACGTGTCTTTATCAGCTTTTGTTGACTGCGCCTGGGAAGAACAGCTGATAAAGACACACGTGTGACGTCGTGAGACGCTTCTGAGGAAGACGGAAGTTATCCATTGAAGTAATAACGTCACAAAACCTCATATTGTCTGGTATAAAAGAACTTAATACTTTTGATGATATATACAGTATGTGTGCTGTGTACCTCCTCCAGTGCTCCAGCAGAAAGCCTGTGCCCGGCCACGTTGATGACATCGTCGGAACGTGACATTATGTAAACAAATCCCTCTTCATCCACATAACCAGCATCCATTGTGTCATAATAACCCTTTGAAACGAAGCAGGGACAATAAGCACATTTTTAAGTTTAGTTTGGAGGCAATTAGTCCTTTAAAAAAAGCATACATAATTATGTCCACTAGAGGGAGCCCTTTTATAATATTCAGTAGAGGAATTTCTGAATAAATTATATCATAAACAAGTAAAACGATGAATAAAACGTACAGGGAACTTAGTAAAGTAGAGCTCTTTGAAAAGATGCTGGTTTTTCCAAAGTGACAAAGCAGCTCCTGGAGGCAACGGAAGCCTGAAAATAATACACATTCACATTACAAAAAAGTGATCTGCAACGCAAGTGACGTTGCAGGATGAAAAACATTACCAAATATTGTAGCTCTAGGACTAACTAAATGCAAAATAGCCTAAATCTAATTGGAACATAATTTTTTTGCCGGAACTGATCTTTGGGGCAAAATTTGGCAACTATTCAAGGGGTCAAAATTAGGTTCAAAACATAGGTTTCCATGGCACATGAAACATCATTTCAAAGCGATGTATAAGTAGATGTTTTGGTGAGTGACGGGCACTGACGCGTCCCTCACTCACCGCAACCTCTTACATTCACTATTGTGAAAGCAATAGCTCCATACGCCAGTTCAGCGCCCAGGCCTAACAGTATAAAAAAGAACACAGAAAATGATGAATGCCTATAGACAACGTACAATGTTATGCTTTTATAGCAAAAGGGGTGTACCTTTTTGCTATTTCAACAGGAGAAAGGAAAAACAAGAGTGTACAGTACATGCAACACATTGCAACTTGTTTTATTTTGTACGTTTTTGCTTCATCAAAGAGTTGAACTGCTGAATACTACAATAGGGCAACAGCTGTCGCTGTCTGTTCAGAGCCGCTTCCTGTTATTCCTGGGCAACGTGTTCAAGTGGATTCAAAGGAAATCCCCTTGGCACCAAGTCAGCAGTGGGAGAAACACGTTTCAGAGAATATTGGGACAGCACTGTTCTAGTTGTGCGTGTGGATGGACTAAAGACTTACCTAACAACAATATTTCCCAGGGCTCTGGGCTTCACTTCTTCCATATCATCATCTATGACTCGAACTGGGCAAATGAAAACTCTGTTACGTTAAGTGCAATCATTTCATGATCAGGGCAAGGACTCACCATCATATCCTGGAACAGGTTTCCCTGCCTGGCCCGCAGGTGTGCTGAGTGAGTGACCCAGTCCTGCACATGTAGATGTGATGGGGGAGCCAGTTTCTTAAAACACAAACAAAAAGTTTAAACAAAAAGTTTAAGCATTAAGCAAGGAATGGCAACACCTTTTAATTAGTCAGTATTGGTGTGTGAAAAGTCAGTCCTAATTATGCTTAGTCTCAAAAAGTTTGCAAAGAGTAAAATGATTAAAGATCCTTAATTGTTGTTTAAAAACAGGGATAGTGAACAATAAACAGTAGCAAAAAGAAGAGTCGTTTTAATGAATTTATAACAACATAGGTAAGTAAAGTTTATTTGTATAGCGCATTTCACAGACCAGGATCACAAAGCGCTTCACATTAAAACACATAAAATAAAACTACACAGCCCCCATTTTTCACTTTCTCTCTACACATACATTCATAATGATCTCACACACAAATACACACACACACAGATTCGTCTTTCCAAGAGACATTTTTTTGGTCAGGCGTGCAAATTCTAAATATCACTAACTCTAGGGGTGCCCAAAGTGAAGCCTGTGAGAGGGGTTTTTCCCGTGGGGCTCAGTTGGGCTCCCGTGTCTTAAGTGTTTGCAGAAAGCACCTTATCACAATTACATATATCAATCCCAATTATTATCATTCCACAGCATTTGTTTTTAAACTTCCACATCACCCCATTTACAAAGGGACCCTCAAAAGTGAGGGTTATGACTGTCTCCCTGTCCCATCCAACCACCCCCGGTACACCTCCAGAACCACTGGGCCCCAAAGGTACTGCCTCACAGAGTTATTCATAGGTAGCTCCCACACACACTGGTTGTTTGACCCGAGGATGAATCACTGAGCCATATTTGATTCAAAACCTTCAGCAGACCTTATTGGGGAATGTCCCTTCCTGAGGTCCCACTTTTAAAGCTTGCATGCTTTCGTACTAAAGTTTTGTAGACCTCTCCACATCTAACCGCAGGTAGATTTGATACTGCAGGGTGGCTACATTTTGTCTGTCACTCAACCTCTCAGTGAAGGCAGGTTTAGAACGTTGATACCACAAATTAGTACTGTATTTAGAATGATAAAAGTCTTGATATCATCATGCATTCATTAAGGCCGTTTGTTTACCGGTAATTTAAATTATACATTGAGTCATCATGTTTAATATTTTATCCATCCAAGTTACTCACATCATAAACATTTATTACTCAAAACGGTTTTTAATTTTGTACAGGGACAACTTTGGTTTTGAGTTATGAAAAACGCCATTTTCAGTCCCTACAAGGGTATCTGTTAATATGAGACTGATACTTAGAGCTAAAAAAATTATTTTGATATTGAATCCATCCCTATTTATTGATTTGTGAATATTTAGGTGAGCAAGAAGCAGACTCGGTCAGGGCACAAAAGAGAGAGTGCCGGAGGGCCGAGCGGAAGTGGCGCAAGTCCAACCTCCAGGTTGATTACAAGATCTTCAAAGATAAGTTGTGCGAGTTTAACCGGGTGCTACGTAGTACGAGAGAAAGGTATTTTTCTGAAACGATTGAAGGCTGCAGCAACAATCTGCGTGTTCTGTTTTCAACAGTTAATAGATTAACAAACCCCCCTGTTCAAATGCCATTAGAGCTTACTTCCAAACGTAAATGTAATGAGTTTGCACATTTTTTCAATGACAAGGTTCAAGGCATCAAAAACGCCATTGTCTCCAATCCACAGATAACAATCCAACAGCCAGAAAGGCTCTTTGAGCTAACTTACTTTGCACCTGTAAATGATCAAACTGTCCAAGAGATAATCTCCAGTTTGAGCTCCTCCACATGCAGCTTGGATGTACTACCCACTAGATTTCTAAAGTCTGTTCTGAGCAGTCTGTTACCTTCACTCACACTGATAGTAAACATGTCCTTTAATTCTGGAATATTCCCAAAGGCCCTGAAAACTGCAGTCATCAGGCCCCTGCTAAAAAAGAGCAGTCTGGATGCTACGGTACTTAACAACTATCGTCCCATCTCAAATCTGCCATTTATGGGGAAAGTCCTTGAAAAAGTTGTCTACCTACAGCTTACTAGATTTCTTATAATCAACAACTCATTTGATATGTTTCAGTCCGGCTTTAGACCCCACCACAGCACTGAGACTGCTCTCGTCAAGGTTACAAATGATATCCGGCTGAACACTGACGCAGGCAAAGTCTCAATCCTAATCCTGTTAGATCTGAGTGCTGCCTTTGACACCGTCGACCATGAGATCCTCTTACAGTGACTAGAGGACTGGGTTGGCGTCGCTGGCACCGCCCTAAGTTGGTTCAGGTCTTACCTTGAAGACAGGAAGTACTTTGTGGAGATTGGAAACTGTGTCTCAGATCATATGGCCCTGACCTGTGGAGTCCCACAGGGGTCGATCCTGGGACCTCTTCTGTTCAATCTCTACATGCTGCCGTTAGGCCAGTTAATACGCAGAAACAAAGTGTCCTATCACAACTATGCAGACGACACTCAGATCTATGTCTCACTGACTGCAGGAGAACATGGACCATTGGACTCACTCCTTCACTGTATCCAACAGATCAGTGAGTGGATGCAAAACAACTTCCTTCAGCTAAACGCTGAAATGATTGTCTTTGGTCCCCAGAAACAAAGAGAGAGCGTCATCTGTCATCTACAGTCTCTCTCCCTAAAACCTTCAAACAAGGTCAGAAATCTAGGGGTAATACTGGACTCAGACTTAAATTTTAACTTAAATTTTAATAGCCACATCAAATCAGTAACATCAGCAGCTTTTTACCATCTAAAAAACATTGCCAGGATCAAAAACATAGTGTCTAAAGGAGACTTGGAGATTCTTATCCATGCATTTGTCTCCAGTAGGTTAGACTACTGCAATGGCCTGCTCACAGGTCTGTCCAAACAGGCTGTAAAACAGCTGCAGTACAATCTAAATGCAGCAGCCTGAGTCCTGACTAGAACCAGGAAGTACGACCACATTGGTCCGGTCCTCAGGTCCCTGCACTGGCTTCCTGTGGCTCAGAGAATAGACTTTAAAACAGCTTTGCTTGTGTACAAGTCTCTCCATGGCCTCGCACCAAAATATATTAGTGACATGTTAGTCCCATATGAACCAGCCCGGACTCTGAGGAGCACAGGGACTGGACTCCTGTTAGTGCCCAGAGTCAGAACTAAACATGGGAGGCTGCTTTTCAGATTCATGCTGCTAAAATCTGGAACAATCTTCCTGAAGATGTGAGACAGGCCTCCTCTCTGACAATGTTTAAAACCAAGTTAAAAACGGTGCTGTTTAGATGTGCATACAACTGAGGGATTTTATATTTTTATCTTTCGTTTTAATGTTCTGTGATTATTTATGATTTTAATGCTATCTTGTTCAGCACTTTGAGTTGCCTTGTGTATGAATTGTGCTATACAAATAAACTTGCCTTGCTTGCCCAACTTTTGTTTTTCAGCAGAAATATCTTTTTTATATTTTAAGATTAATAAGATAGAAATATGACTACAAATCTTGAATAACTTTTTTACAAAAAGGGCGTGGATCACCAAATTCTCAGGTTCATCAAACAGCCATAACTAACTACTACAACTTTGTTTTTAAGCAGAAATATCTTTTTCTATTTTTATGATTACCTATGAATATGAATTTTGAATATCTTTTTTTCAAAAAGGGGCGTGTCACCAAAATTCTCAGGTATCATCATACTGCCTTATCTAACAACTACAACTTTTGTTTCAGCAGAAATATCTTTTTTATATTTTATGATTAAATATGATGAAATATGACAACAAATCTTGAATACCTTTTTTTCAAAAAAGGGGCGTGGTCACCAAATTCCAGGTATCATCAATAACTGCCAATATCTAACTACCATAAACAAAATTTTTGTTTTCAGCAGAAATATCTTTTTATATTTTTATGATTAAAATATGATGAAAATAATGAACTACAAATCTGAATAACTTTTTTTCAAAAGGGGCGTGGTCACCAATTCTCAGGTATCATAATTAACAGCCATATCTAACTACTACAACTTTTGTTTCAGAAGAAAATATCTTTTTTATATTTTTTATGAATTAAATAAGAATATGATTTTTGAATAACTTTTTTCAAAAGGGGCGAGGTCCTCCACATTCTCAGGTATAACCAATAACTGCCATATCTACTACTACAACTTTTGTTTTCAGAAGAAATAACTTTTTTATATTTTTATGATAAATATTAATATTATTTTTGAATAACTTTTTTTTCAAAAAGGGGCGTGGTCACCAAATTCTCAGGTATCATCAATAACTGCGCATATCTAACTACTCACAACATTGTTTTCAGCAGAAAGATCTTTTTTTATATTTTTATGATTAATATGATGAAATATGAGACTACAAATTTGAATAACTTTTTTCAAAAAGGGGCGTGTCCACCAAATTCTCATGTATCATCAATAACACAATATCTAACTACACAACCTTTGATTTTAGCAGAAATATAACCTTTTTTCATATATTTTTTATGATGAATCTTCAATGCATTTTTTTATAAATGGAGAAGATTCCATTACGAGGGATTTAACAGGAGTATGAAATTAAGACAGACCTCTAATGGTTATAAAACATTTATTAGAAGATTGATTTGTTATGTGAAGGTGCGGACCTGTAAAGGAAAAGAGGTGAGTTAAGGAAAAGGAATAAATGTACAACATTTAAATATACTTATCTTTTTACTCCCCCCGCCCATCCCTTGTCTGCCCTCTTTAGGCGTTCCGGCCAAATAATGTCCTGAGGAGCCCCCGGAGCACCTAAAGAAGGATTCCGGGTTCAAATCCACTCTGCAAAGGGTGGAGGGTTTCCTGGGTTTTAATCTTCCAGTTTTAGTATAGTTTTAAAAAATAAATCATTGTAAATTTAAATAATACTAATAAAAAGATTGTAAAAGCAAGCACTACTTTCATTATTGCAGTAGGCTGCAGTTAGTATTGCTTAATTACCGTCATATGCAATAAAAGCCGGCCAACCAACTCTGAACAGAGAGAGTGTTGCATGACAGGCTGTCCAATGTAAATAAACCTGCACCCTGGGTGTGCACTGTTTCTCCAACATCATCATAAGTGGCCATCCCTGACATGACAAGTGTCACATCTTCAATAAATTATTGTTCTAAAAGGGGCGTGGTCCCAAAATCATCCAGTTATAATCAATAATTAACATATCTAAAGTACTGGCAACCTTTGTTGCAGCTTTATCTCTTTGTTACATTTTTTATGATTAATTATCAATCTTCAATAGCTTTGTTCTGAAAAAAGGGGCCACCAAATTCTTCAGAATGACCTGAGAATTTGGTGACCACGCCCCCCTTTTTGAAAAAAAGTTATTCAAAAATCATATTCATATTAATCATAAAAAATATAAAAAAGATATTTCTTCTGAAAACAAAAGTTGTAGTAGTTAGATATGGCAGTTATTGATGATACCTGAGAATTTGGTGACCACGCCCCTTTTTGAAAAAAAGTTATTCAAAAATCATATTCATATTTAATCATAAAAAATATAAAAAAGATATTTCTTCTGAAAACAAAAGTTGTAGTAGTTAGATATGGCAGTTATTGATGATACCTGAGAATTTGGTGACCACGCCCCTTTTTGAAAAAAAGTTATTCAAGATTTGTAGTCATATTTCATCATATTTAATCATAAAAAATATAAAAAAGATATTTCTGCTGAAAACAAAAGTTGTAGTAGTTAGATATGGCAGTTATTGATGATACCTGAGAATTTGGTGACCACGCCCCTTTTTGAAAAAAAGTTATTCAAGAAATCATATTTCACATATTTAATCATAAAAAATATAAAAAAGATATTTCTTCTGAAAACAAAAGTTGTAGTAGTTAGATATGGCAGTTATTGATGATACCTGAGAATTTGGTGACCACGCCCCTTTTTGAAAAAAAGTTATTCAAAAATCATATTCATATTTAATCATAAAAAATATAAAAAAGATATTTCTGCTGAAAACAAAAGTTGTAGTAGTTAGATATGGCAGTTATTGATGATACTGAGAATTGGTGACAGTTTTTGATTATTCAAAAAATATTCATATTTAATCAAAAAATATAAAAAGAGAAACAAAAGTTTGTAGTGACCAGTATGATGAACTGAGATTGGTGACCACGCCCCTTTTAGAAAAAAAGTTATTCAAGATTTGTAGTCATATTTCATCATAAAAAATATAAAAAAAGAGGCAAATGCTGAAAACAAAGGTTGTACAAGTTAGAAGTGTTAGTTATGTATTGTGTCCTAGAGTTCTGTGCGTGTACATGGCTTCAAGTAACAGCTATTGTTCGTTTACAAAGCTGGTATTGATACTTGTTGACGCTCCCTATGCGCTTTTCTCGGCACTTGGATTGAATGGATTTCTCCGCATTAAAACAGCGCATTGGATTTGAAAAATCGATGTTGTAGTAGTTAGCCTAAGTAGAGGTGATCATTTTGGCACCATTACTTTCGTTTAACAACGTTGCTTTCGTGAGATATTCATGGCGGAAGTCCGAATCTGTGAATATCAAGCTGACTTTACCGAACTGCTCTGCGTGAAAGACTGTTGACGGCAGCTCACCTGCAAATATATCGGATAAGTAACACCACGACCAGTTTTGTAACTAATTTTAAGACTACGTGTGCAGCTATGCGCGCATGCATAAAGCAGATCCTTGGAGTGAAGCAGTCGTGCAATGCGACTGGCACCAAACTCCATGTAGCTTTAGCACAAGCGCGAATAACAAGAGTGTGCACCGCTGCGTGCTCCCCACGCTTCTCTCTGGTCTCCTCTGTGCACCCCTCTGTGCACTCCTCTGTGCACCCCTCTGTGCACTCCTCCAGGACCTATGTATCCGACAGTGCATACAGCCAGGCCTTCAGCGCGGCCAGAGACAGCCCAGACTCCTTCTGGACTCAGGCTGGACAACATATCGACTGGTTTGAGCCATGGACTAAAACTTTGCACTTTGAAGACCCCGTGTTTCCTCAATGGTAGGTAACAAGAGAAGTAAAGTCAACGTAGACACAAGACGACTACGTGTTCACTGACGTGTGCGTTTGAATCAATGTTTCTCAGTTTGAAGATGTTTGTCTTGGCACCGCCTCCTGCTCCATACCGAGCAGTGCTTCATGGTGTCACCCCAGTTCACTTGAAGGAGTGGTTGCATCCGAATACAAACCTCTAGCTAATCCCTTGTATTGGTTCTTCATTGTTTTTTTTTTCCTTTTGTCGACATTGTGTCCACTAATTAACGAATAATAACATTGCTTGATTTTTAACATTGCTGGTTAACATTTGTGTGTCAATCATAATTATACATTAAAGGCACAATATACCTGCCATAACACTTGGAATGCAAAGATTGCATCCATTGTTTAAGATTAATGTGGCTACAAATCCAAGCATTGTTTTTATAAATAACAATTGTAAACCGCTTTGAGACTCTGATGTGCAGTGAAAAGGCAGTATATAAATAAAGATGAACACTAACTTACTTACTAATAAAATGTATGCCCCATAACAATATAGTTTTCTAGGTTTTTAGGAGGAAAGCTGAACATGTGCTACAATGCTGTGGATCGACATGTGGAGGGTGGACGTGGAGAGCAGACGGCCATCATCTACGACAGCCCGGTGACTGGAACCAAACAAACTGTCACCTACAGACAGTTACAAGATCAGGTATGATCTTTCAAGTACAAGTACGTTTCCAAAATGCATTACAAAACCCCTTATATTTGCTCGTTTAGGTTTCCAGGCTGGCAGGAGTACTTGTGAAGCACGGTGTGCAGAAAGGAGATTTGGTGGTGATCTACATGCCCACGGTGCCCCAGGCCATGTTCACCATGCTGGCCTGCGCTCGCATTGGAGCCCCGCACAGCCTAATCTTTGGTGGCTTTGCTTCTAGAGAGCTTGCTGTCAGAATTACTCATGCCAAGGTTGGTTTGAATTAGAATACAAATGTTGTTCTCTCTCTCTGGGCGTTTGGAGTGGAACACATTCTGATCCCATTGGATCATGTACAATATTTTTACACAGTGCTTGAAATACAGTTCATTGAACATCTTTCTTGAAAGTTTGTGTAAGCTCTCAGTCATAAAGGGATTAGTCAAAGCAAAGGAAGGTTTCTCACCCATCATCTGTACTTCTTAGACGGTTTTCCCGACATTTCATCCTTAATCCAAAGAGCTTTTTCTTCTTTTTTTCTTCTTTTTCTTCCCTTGAAAAAAACTCCATGGATTAAGGACGAAACGTCGGGAAAACCTAAGAAGTACAGGTGATGGGTGAGAAACCTTCCTCTGCTTTGATCTTTCTTGAAACTTTGCCACAATGTGTCTTTTTGTTCAAAGATGTTCAGTCTCATTCTTACTTTTCCTCCAGCCCAAGTTGATGGTGACGGCCTCCTTTGGCATTGAGCCCGGCAGACAAGTGCAGTACATTCCTCTGGTAGAGAAGGCCTTAGAGCTGAGCTCTCACAGACCCTCCAAAGTCCTCATCTATAACAGACCAAATATGGTGTGTTTTTACCATTTATATGAGTCTTTTGAAATGTTTGTATGGTATGGTGTTAGTGTGGGGATGTCCCAATGCGATCATGTGACTGAAATCAAGACCAACTGAGACCAATCAGAATCAGAGTTACCTCCCAATCAGAACTGTACAGGTGTAGTTCCATACTTCATAAACAGACGATCGAGATACAGACGCTGCTTTATTTAGCATAAATGTTGTTTTATTTTCATGCTGCTTCATCTGAATACAGCGTTGTGACAGCATGAGATTAGAGTAGCACTGCAGGCTGCCTGCTAGCTCTGTTGGAGCGGTAGCAGCGTGGTTACGCTTCAGAGTTTACCAATAATGTGATAGCATGGATCGCTGTGGAAATGTACACATGGACATGGAAGAAACGCACACTACTGCAGAGGTCTAATACTTTTAGATTGGGACTAATACACATAAAATAACATAATTCTATAAAAACCTGATCGGAACATCCCCATATAAAAGTGATTTGATTAGCTGAGATTTAAGCTACAATGTAATAAAAAAGGTGTTATTTATTTGACCAGTTAGAATATACAGTATACCTGATTATATTCTATTTTAGGAAAGAGTTTCAATGAGTCCAGAGATATCACTGGACTGGGATGAGGAGATGGCCACAGCCCGGCCGCATGACTGTGTCCCCGTCCCTTCCAACCACCCCCTGTATGTGCTGTACACCTCTGGAACCACTGGGGCCCCAAAGGTACTGCCTGACAGAGTTATTCATAGGTAGCTCCCACACACACTCACAGACACTGATTGTTTGACCTGAGGATGAATCACCAAGCCTGTCGCAATGAAGCAGAGAGAACAGCTCCACAAACTTCAGATTGTAACAGAAAATATAATCTTGTCATCTGCCCTACTCAACTCTAGGGGATTGTGCGAGATACTGCCGGCTACGCTGTGATGCTGAAATGGACCATGTCAAACATTTATGCACTTCAATCTGGTGATGTAAGAGCAAGTGTCTATCCACATGTTGTAAGGACAGAAATAACATATGTGTACGTCATCAGGTTTGGTGGGCTGCATCTGACCTGGGATGGGTTGTTGGACATTCATATATCTGCTATGCACCTTTACTCCATGGAAACACCACGATTCTTTACGAGGTACAAAATCACTGTAGCCCACTGTTTTCTGTCCATTAAACTTACATTGTGTTATTTCTGTGTGTTTTTGCATGAGTTTTGTTTTATGCATTACATTTGGTAAGTAACGTGTGTTTTTGTCTGTTCTGAGGGTAAACCAGTGGGGACTCCAGACCCAGGGGCGTTCTTTCGTGTCCTGTCTGAGCATGGGGCCTCCTCCATGTTTACAGCACCTACTGCTATCCGGGCCATCAGGCAACAGGACCCAGAGGCCGCCGTGGGGGGGCAATACCCTCTGTCGAGGTGAATTGTATATTTATTTGGTTGGGACAGTGCATGTTAATGAACACACCTCTCTACATTGTAGCCTTGGGGTAATTTGCATTTGCTGTTGTCCCACATTTGCACGCGTAACCACACATCCATCCATCTATCCATTTTCCACCGCTTCATCCGTTGCCGGGTTGTGGGGGCAGCAGTCTAAGCAGAGACGCCCAGACTTCGCTATCCACACACACTTCCTCCAGCTCCTCCAGGGGGACCCCAAGACGTTCCCAGGCCAGCTGAGAGACATAGTCCCTCCAGCGTGTCCTGAGTCTTCCCAGGGGTCTCCTCCCGGTGGGACGTGCCCGGAACACCTCCCCAGGGAGGCGCAACCACACACTCATTCACTATTGTACATGTTTTTTAGTGGTAGGGGAAACTGGAGCACGCGGAGGAAACCTATACGCAGACACGGGGAGAACATGCAAACTCCACTCAGAAAGGCTTTGTTCCGACCAGGATTTGAACTCAGAACCGTCTATTATGTTTTTGACTATGATATGTACTACAAAATAATATTGACATTCAATATTTCAGCTTCTCTGTGCTCGTATCCAAAACTTCCAGTTAAAAAAAAAAGTTGTGAATACTCAGTGCACTCGTCCATGTCATTTGTCATCTGTCTTCATACATCCATCCTGTCAATGTGTGGGCCACAGCTGTTCTTTAAAACCTGCTATAAATTAGTATATTTTCATAGTGTTATCCCCATTTTTACTGTATTGTTGTCCTAAAACTTACTTATTCAAGACAAATTAGTTGAATAATTTATTTGTCTAATTATTTGAGATTATTGAATCGATAAATCCAAACATATTAATGAAGAAGAGTTACAGTTTGTTGCAAGGACAAAAATGCAGATGTTACAAAACTTCTTACATATTTTGGTTTTAATTTAAGGACTACAGATGGAAAGTAGCCCGCTGCTAAATCTGGTGCAGCCATCATTTTAATATAACTGCGCATTGTCCTTAATAAACTAAGCTCTTAAAATAAGTTAGTTTTTTCTCATAAATATACTATCTGAACTTAAAAGCATACATAGAATCAGGGCTATGTATATTTACCTTTTGTAGATATATTAGTGCACATATACATTGTTGGTCTTTTCTCCCCACCTTTTACATCAACTATTGAGCTGTTTATTAAGTATGACAAAATACATGGCTTTAATAGTGCATGTTTTATGTGCTTGGACTTTAAACTCATTTTCAGCCCATTGTATTTCCTGTGGGAATATTTTAAGTGAACTTTCGATCACTTTTAGGCACTTTTGTCAGGATGAGATCGTGTTAATTAAAAGTTTGTGGGTAGAAAAAGCTGCGGAATACAAAATGGTGCCTGAAAGACTTTCATAGAACAGAACCTAAATTATTATTGACACAGTGAGACTTAAAGGCACTGTTGAGACCAGATCCCAGAGGTAATTGAATGTTACTACATCAAGATTGCGTTAAGAAAGTGTCTGCATGGCTCACCTCATCAAACCCTTCACTCAGACCAACATCAGCATCAGCGTGTTTATCTGTTTACCACAAATGTGTGGAGCTCAGAAATTAGCAATCTTCAGCATTAATTGTGTTTACTTAAAGTACTACTTACTTTTCTGTAGGTTTCCTCTTATTTCTGTTGGTAAATAGTTTAGATAAGTGGAGTCCACACACTCAAGTGAAAGTTACTAAGAAGATTATTTGAGAACAATGTTTAAAGTGTTTGCTTCCTGATTTGGCCAAATGCACCAAAGAAAAACTTGGAGGTGCCAAATTGGTCCATAAAGCTGAGAAAGCGCGAGGAGAGAAAGAGTTATGCTTCCTCCATTTTCCCTGTGAGGATAGAA